ACACACACACACACACACGCACGCACGCACGCACGCACGCACGCACGCACGCATCCCCCCCGTGCGCGCGTTGACAAACACGGACTTCAAACATAAAGGTTTATTACATCCACACTGGCGAGGTGGGCACGCCCTGCGTGTTTATTTAAAGCGTGACTTTTGCTGTCCTGCTGTTCTTGTCTGGGAGGGGTCTGTGGGTCAGGGAGGGGTCTGTGGGTCATGGAGGGGTCTGTGGGTCAGGGAGGGGTCTGTGGGTCAGGGTCGTCTGAGGAGGAAGCAGATGAAGGGAGTTGGGCATGGGAACTTTTATTTAAGATTTAAGTTTTTTATTTCAAAGGTCCTCATGGCTCAGCAGCAGAAGCAAAGCTGATGATAAAGTTGAATAAAAATCTAAGTCTGATGAAGGTAAATTAAATATCTGACAGTGATCATTACACAGTGTGGCTCTAATTCTTCACTTCACCATCTGTGTCGCAGTTTCACGTCTCCAAAATGAGCGTACGCATAGGTCAGAGCTGGCGTGAGGCACCGCACATTTTCACGTCAAGTTTGGATTTTATAAATCACAACCTTGGCGTAAAAAGTGGCGTACGCAAGTTTCTGGGCTCACATTGTGCGTACGCCAGTTTTATAAATCCGACCCCAGGAGATTACAGCCAAAAACCAAATTGTGGCCTTCAAGCCAAATGATTTACCAAGGAAGAAAGATGAAGTACGAAGGCCAAAGGTGGGGACGTACAAGGCTCTTTATAGGCTTCACAGTGTAAAGTTCAACAGAGGCATCATAAATTTTGTCACTGTATACCTTAAGCATTCCCTTTCCTAATATAGTAATATATGCCGAGCTCTGAAGCTGGGGTCTAAAAGAGACATAACACATCTCTGCATCCCTGAGAAAAGGCCCCCACTCTTGGACACTACACAATGKTTTTACAAATGAATGAAATCCTCGTTATGTTATATAGTGAGTGAAAGTCTGTACTGTTTTCAGTCAGGTTTTAAAGACTGTGAGCTAAAACTTTGTCTCTTTGTCAAGAGTTCTCATAATCACAGTGTGAGTGAGCAAACTCACTGCTAGATCATTACTGTGTTCTTGCATAAAAGTACAATTACTGTAGTTCTCACAATGTAACTCAACCTGGAAAGACTCACACAAGACAGACTGGAAMTAGGAGGTTTATTGACATGACTGGACCAACATAGTTATTGACATAAAGGGCATTAGAGTTTGGTGCTCGGACCCCGGCAGAGG